ATAGAAGTCCTGTATTCTGGTCTCCTATGGCTGTTCCTATGTTCTGCGGAGAAAGACATTTGCTAAAAGCTAGAAAGTTCTTGCTGCAAGGACCAAAGAGAAGGCCTTGTCTCCCATTTGTATTTTTGTGGTCTACAGAAAATCTGTAAAACATCGGCATAGCAAAATGCCCAGGCAGTTCTTGTGAGCCCTCCTATTGTTGTTGGAGCAATAAATTATTCTTTGAGATTTTGGGACTTTTAAGTGAGGTTGGTTTTAATCATGTTCCTGCAGTGACTCTACTACTTGTAGAGCCAAAAGTTGGAAAACAGCCCTAGTGTCTCTGCCCAGCTTTCTCTTCTTCTTTTTCTTTCTCTTCTTCTTCTCATTTCTCTTCCAGCTCCTGGCGAGGCCATTCAACACTAGTTTTCTGGCCTCTAAAAGATAACAGACTATGGTAACACCATCAATAGCACCAGCTTCACTTGGGATTTTAAATTTTTTTTAATTTGTTTGCATTTTTTAAAGCCTCAGGGCAGGACTTGCCCTAAATATAGACAAGCAAAGAAATCCCCTGGGTGGGAGAGTTCCTTTGTCTGTGGTAACATCACTGTCCTTGTGGGCTGTTTGGATTGCTCTGCTGCAGTATATTCCAGTTTAAAAACAAAAAGTACCCAAACCCCAAAACCTCAAAACCCAGACTTCCTCATTTTGTTACAGAGGTGCATGATCTAAGGGAGCACCAGAGAGCATGCTGCTCCTCTGCTGCCTGCTCTACAGGCTCAGGAAATCTTCAGAGTGGGAGCATGGGGCTTTACCTGGGGTGCACAAGTAGTCACACGGAGTTCAAATGGAGAAAGAGAACCCAGCACTGGACAGATGTGTTTGTCCTTGTCCACCCATTGCAAGATGCATAGTTGGATGACTCAAAGGTTGGAAGTCGACGGCACTTCCCAGGACCAGATTTAGGCACAGAAAAAAAACACAGTTGCCCAGGGCAGTCAACATCCTACTGTATCAACGCTAAACAGTGTGATGAAAGGGTGTCTTACACTGTGTCAGACACTGCCCAGCAATCCAGCCACAGCCGTCAGTGGGCACAGCCTTGTGGTCCAACTGCTTCTGCCAAGAAATCTCCGTAGCAGTGTGGAGCAACACGCCCCCGCCCCCAGCAACAGCTGCCCTTAAACACCATCCCTAAAGTGGTGCAGGATCAGCAAATGCAACTTCGGTGCAATTGATCCTAGCCTTCCTCCTCCCCAGCCCAATCTGTTGGCTGCGTTGTTCACCTCACCCTCCTTCTCCGATCCTGCAGTGTGAGGTGCCAGAGGGTGAGCAGAGCTACTGGTTTGGATGTGTCTTCTGCAGGAGTGGGCAGGAGACTGCTCTGGGAACTGATCTATTGGAGGAGGGAGACCAAAGAAGGTGAAAGACTGAGGGAAAGGAGAGAGGAAGGCAGATGCATGGAAACTTTGTCTTCCTTCATTTTCTGGAACCCCATTTGATTCTCTGTGATATTTCTTACAGCTCTTATTTTATTACCCTGGGCACTTCCCCCGTCCCTTCTCCATGAAATGCAGTCTGTTATCACCACAAAATCGAGTGCTTTTCTTCCAAAGATGAGGACACAATAGAGTGTGTGGTTTTTTTCATTCTTTGTGATCAGAAGTCCTTTCTTTCACCTTTACAGCACAGTAAGTGTTAAAAAAATACCTACATGGATAAGTATGGAATTTTTTTAATCTGGAAGTGCAGTGAAACTTCTGACAATGGACTACTTTTTCCTCTGAATGACTATCATGGGCACAGACCTGAAGTCTAAACTTTCAGTTACTTTGTTGACACCTTTAATGTGATAGGGATAGTGGCAGTGATTCTTAGAAAAAAGCTTCTTCTATGACTAAATCTACTTTTTGGTAGAATATCCACCTATTCTTAGCTGTTCCTCATTCCCACTGTTTGCTTCATAACTATGCTTCAGAAAAACTTTGTTGCATTTTTATTTGCTCCTGGCATATGAAAAAAGTGAACTCCCATGAATCGGTCCATATAAAGCCACCATTGCCTTAGACCTTTCCCTCTGAAACCACAAAAGACCAGGCCAGGCTCTGTTGATTTTCTCGTCATTACTGTTTCTAGGGATAACTGGAGCTTTTTTAAGTTCTGGATGCTCAAGGTGAGTTGTTCATCTCCTCAATCAGTACCTAGTTACTGACAGACATGATCAAATGCATGAACACTTAATACATTGCTTTCCAGTTCAGGCCTATCTCTATGCTTCTAGTACTGCATGTGAGCAGAAGTGGAGCTGGTTCAATTGTTATTTTTGTAGAAAATATATTTGCAGTGAAAAAGTTGCTAATATGATGAGTAGACTTGCTGTGCTACACCTGTTCCCTTTATACTGCATGAGTTGTGGTGAAGAAAGCAAGTCAGATATCCACTTTGGGTGTTGGCTGGTCTCAGTGACAACTCAGTATCGTTCATGTTTACAAGCAATGTAAGAGAATGAACCTGAAAAATGACAGCACACTTATAGCTCATCAGTCATCAGTCTCACACTCTAGCAGGAATCTAGGAAGCAGAAATACTCATAAGCCTAAGCTTTTCTGGGTGTCTAGAAAGTAAGCCCTCTTTGTCCCCAAAGGCAGTCAGCACTATCTTTGGCTTTCTGTTTTGGAAATAACTGTATCTGAGTTTTGTATGAATAGCTGATATATGAACTACTGCTGATATTGTTATATCACTCTGTATGTCAATAAAGAAGCAGTAGGATAGGAATGACCTTGGGATTTTCATACAGGTGAATCCTGGAGCATCTTGGAAGAGCGCTAGGCAGCAGGTAACTTTTTCCAAATGTAGTAAGCAAGAAATGGAAGTAATAGAGAAATACCTGGACAGTTCTCTCTCCTACAAGTTTTTAACTCCAGCAGAACGGATCTGCCTGTTTTTAAGAGGAAAATGTTGACATATCTTGCTGTTTGAAAAATGTCGACATATCTTGCTGTTTGAAAAATGTCATATTTTCTAGTGATGCTTCAATTTCAACATGTGAAGAAATGAAATTACTTTACATCATTTATAAATCTCCATATTAAGTAAATTACATTTTCTTCTGTAAAGCAAAGCCTTTCAGGGTATAAGGGAGCTTTTGATGTTTTATGTTGTTTATAATAACCCTTTCCTTTAGAAAATGCACAGCTGTGACCTGAGAAGGGAACAAATGCTCAGCAGCAGGCCCTGGAGTGGCTTTTTGTAGTTAGGTTCTTACTACTTGCAATTTTTTGTCTGTTTTTGCAGTGGTTTGTGGTTTGGTTTTTTTGACACTGGGAGAAATGGACTGAGAACGAATCCAGATCACAACTTTTGATAGTAATATATCTTACTTGAAGACTTCATATCAAAGATTTGAAATTCTCTTTTTCAACAGGCTTAAGGAACTTTTCCAATTTGCATTGTCATCTCGCTGAGTGCCGCCATAGACCATCCCTGCCCAGCCCCCCAGGGCTCCCCCCACCCTGCCCATGGCTCAGGACCCCATGTCAGGGGTAGTCAGCCCCTGCCTCAGCAACGCCACAGCCGGGCCGGTCTCCAGCTCCCAACAGCCCTGCCCTGAGCCATGGCCCCGCTGAGTCAGGTCTACCCGTGGGCCCATGTCCCAGCCTGGCCTCGGCCCATCCCTGTCCCCATGGAGGTGCCCGATGTCCGGAGCTGGGGCTGCCCCGGTGCCCCCGGCTGCCCTGCACCTGGTTGGGGCTGGGTGGGGCCCTGGCTGCCAGGCCCTGCCCTGACCCACCATGGGGAGCCCCACTGCTCCCAGCCCCTAGAGATGGTTTGTATCGAGAGATGTTTTGTACTACTCAGTATTATTTAGAGCTAGAGAGAAATACCTGTAAAAGAAAAGATTTTTATGCACTCGCCGGATTCCCAAGCAGCAGTGGACTCTGTACAACTGAAAGGAAAATTTAACCAGCTAACTACTTGTTCATGTTATATGAAATCATGAGTTGTGCAATTACATGAATTTGGTAAGAATCAGGAGGGAAGTGATGAACATTGTATCTTGCAACACTTCCGATGGTATGACAGTTCCTCAAAACACAAGCGGCAAGGGAGGCAGCCCTATTTATAGCTATAGAACCATTTAAAATATGAGTCTTTCCATCTTCGCTGAGCCTGAAGACTATGAGAGAAAGATAAATGAGATAAAGACGCTTTGAAATAGAAGGTAGGTCCATCTTTGTCTTTCTGACTATTTTGTTTGCTGAGGTATTCACTGAGACTCTAGGAAGTCCAGGGCTGGAGGGCTGATGTCCCAGGCAAAATCTAAAAAGCTGTCAGAGAATTACATGGAGCTACGTTGAATTAAGTTTTTTGCAAATAAAGTATCTACTGCCTGCTAAGAAAGGTCCTAGCCACAGTTTTGATTTTCTTACTGCGTTCGGTACTGAATTTTTTGTATTGAGTGGCTAGACACCGCTCCTAGATCCACTTTTATGCATATACTCAAAAACATCCTTGAAAGTACATGAACTAATGCCCTCACCAAACTTACCGTATTAACCATTGGGTAACTTGAGCCGATTGATATTGCTGTGACCCATTTTGATATTTTCTGTTTGCAGCTGTTTACCCATCTGCTTGATGTCTGTTAATCCTAACCTTTGTATATAGCAGATAGATAAATAATCTTTAGACCTTAAGATAGCAGTCATCAAATATATATATGTAATGTTTATACAGTGCTCCCGAGACCACCAGCTTTACAAATCATCACACAAATTGTTTTGTTACAGAAAAGGACAACTTCTTTAACTTTGTTACTGTTTATTTGAATATTTCTCTGACTGCTTGAGAAGTCTATCTAATCTTTCTTCCCACCAGAACTGAGAGATGGTCAGATGGTGTAGAAGCAGACATACGAGCAGGTCAGACTAGACAAATTCAGAGGAGAATGCTTCATGCTGGCATCTTTCACCTTGAGCAAGTTTCATTGTTCTCTGTCTCCAAAGGAGGAAGAGATGGTTGCTCCTCTTGCACTCATCTTCATGACCCAGTGGATGCTGTTGATCACCCAGTTGTGTGTTGGTTGGCACTGCACAGACTGTGAGTAGAACACTTACATGGGGCAAACCTCCAAGGTGGAGTGTAACATGCTTCTCATTATGGGTAGTTGTGCTTAAGTTGCCTTCTGTCTTAGATGTGCTAGGTAGTAACCTCTGCACCCAAAAATCTGGGAACCAGTCCTGCCCCTTACTATTATGTGACACTTGCAGTGGAGATGCCAGACTCGCCTATTAGAAATTTGATGCTGAATCAGTGGAAAATGGAACTGAGTTGGATGAGCAGCATGAATTTCACTGAGGACACGTGTTCAGTGACTGCAGGAGATTTTACCGAGACTATAATGGTAAATTTGCTATGTAAAGTTTTAACACAGATAAATCATTACACTTTCTTCTTTTTCTTTCATATCCTTAAGTAACTGAAAAAAGTATCCTTGGTAGGAACCAGGTAGTCTCTGTTTTATCAGTCCTTTTTAGCTTTTGTTGAGACCTATCTTGATACTGAGGCATATCTGTCCTCTCTGACCATTCTTGTGAAATTCTTACCTTCAGAGGACTCTTGTGGAATCAGGGCCTTGATGGGACTGAAGTGTAAGATTGTCTCTTCTCCTGTTTTCAGAGGAACTTTGGTGAGAGGTATCTCACACTATGCAGATGAGAATTTTTAAGTACAAAGGACAGACTGAATTAAATACATGGGTCCTTACTGACTTACATGAAAACAAGACATAAGCATTCAGGGACATTGGAGATGCAGTGATGTGCTTGCCTAGGGTTGACTGGTGTGACACAGAAGCCTGTGAAGACACAATACTTCTGGAGTGGCCCTCCTGAAGGCTAAGCAGGTTCATACAATCATAGAAAAGTTTGGGTTGGAAGGGACCTTTAAAGATCATCTAGTCCAATCTTCCTGCTATGGGCAGGAACATCTTTCACTAGATCACGCTCAAAGACCCATCCAACCTGACCTTGAACACTTCCGACGACAGGCATCCACAGCTTCTCCAGGAAACCTGTTCCAGTGTTCCACCACCCCCATCGTAAACAATTTCTTCCTTAAATCCAATATAAATCTACCCTCTTTCAGTTTAAAAACATTGCCCCTTGTTCTGTCAATACACGCCCTGGTAAAACATCTCTCTATGTCTTTTTTCTAAGCCCCCTTTGTATATTGAAAGGCCACAATAAGGTCTCCTCAGAGCCCTCTCTTCTCCAGGCTGAACAACCCCAACTCTCTCAGCCTTTCTTTCAGAGGAGAGGTGTTCCAGCCCTCTGATCATTCTTGTGGTCCTCCTCTGGACTCACTCCAGCAGGTCCATGTCTTTCTTGTGCTGGGGACCTCAGAGCTGGATGCAGTACTCCAAGTGGGGTCTCACGAGGGCGGAGTAGAGGGGGAGAATCACTCCTCTGACCTGCTGGCCACGCTGCTTTTGATGCAGCCCAGGATATGACTGGCTTTCTGGGCTGCGAGCGCACGTTGCTGGCTCATGTCCAGTTTTTCGCCCACCAGTATTCTTAAGTCCTTCTCTACAGGGCTGCTTTCTGTCCATTCATCCTCCAGTCTGTATTGGTACTGGGGATTGCTCCGACCCAGGTGCAGGACCTTGCACTTGGCCTTGTTGAACCTCATGAGGTTTGCACAGGCCCGCTCCTCAAGCCTGTCAAGGTCCCTCTGCATGGCATCCCTTCCCTCTAATGCATCAACTGCACCACTCAGCTTGGTGTTATCCACAAACTTTTTGAGCGTGCACTCAATCCCACCCTCTATGTCATTAATGAAGGTATTAAATCGTATTTGTTCCAGTACGGACCCTTGAGGAACACCACTCGTTACTGGTTTCCACTTGGACACTGAGCCATTGATTACTGTAAGTCTTTGGATGCGCCCATTCAGCTAATTCCTTATTATCTAACAGTCCATCTGTCAAACTGATATCTCTCCAATCTAGAGGCAAGAATGTTGTGGGGGATCATATCAAAGGTCTTACAGAAATCCAGGTAGATGACATCTGTTACTTTTCCCTTATCGACTGATGCAGTCACTCCATTGTAGAGGAGCACTAGATTACTCAGGCACGATTTGCCATATTGGCTGTCTCTAGTCACCTCCCTCCAACACTCCAACATAACTTTCAGGGGTATCTGTTGCATGACTTTACCAGGCATGGAGGTGAGGCTGACTGGTCAGTATTTCCCAGGATCCTCCTTATAACCCTTTTTAAAAATGGATGGGATATTCACTTTTCTGCAGTCACTGAGGATTTCACCTGACTACCATGATTTTTTAAACATGATGGAGAGGGGCTTGGCAACTACATGAACCAATTCCCTCAGAATGCTGAGATGCATCTCGTTGGGCCCCATGGACTTATGTATGTTCAGGTTCTTCAGGTGGTCTCAAACCTGATCCTCTCTTATAGTGGGAGGGACTTTGTTCCCCCAGTCCCTGCCTTGAGATTCAGGGACTTGAGAGATGTGGAACGAGTGATTGCCAGTGAACACTGGGGCAAAAATTCATTGAGAACCTCAGCCTTCTCCATGTCAGTTGTCACTGGTTCTCCTGTCTTATTTACCAGGGGCAGTACACTTTCTTTGATCTTTCTTTTCTGACCAACGTACCTGTAGAAGCCCTTATTATTATTTTTTTTAACATTCCTTGCCAAATTCAGCTCCAGATCAGATCCAAACTTTTCATAGCAGACAGGAGATCTAGAACTCAGATTCTTGTGTAAATGGGTTACTTGAGAAGTGTCATGACTTTATGAAAAGGCAACTTCTGCTCCTGATTTAGTCTGTTTTCAGTGCTTATGCAGAGAAGACAGCAAGCTAAACATTTCCTATTTTGCTACTACTATGTTTGTTGAGCAAAACAGTTTTCGCTTTCACTGGCCTCTACAAGCTGCACAGATACTTCAAAGCAAGTCATGAAGTTGTACTCTTGGGATTATTCTTTTCCCCGTACATGTATTACTTCTGCCTTAGCTAAGTTCTCTTCCTCTAGAGCCCAAAGCTGTCTCCATCCATTTAGCCAATATTTCTTGTGCATCTGATTGGGTAGGTAATCTCCAAAATAAATTTGTTTTAGGAACAGGAACTGTAATAGGAAGGTATTGGTTTTGACAGTCTATTTTGCATGAGTAGACAGGGAGCTACACTACTGTGTCAAGCAAGATGTATACCACGTCTATGGTAAACATGAATGTTTCTACAGGTAGTTTCTAGAAAAGTCTGACAGCTGGGGACTCCTCTGATATTCCTATATCAGTAATCACAGATTTGAGTGGATTCATGTCACTCATTTCAACTATCTAAGTCCTCTAAGCTCTGACAGGAGCTACTAGAGAAGTACAGCCCCTGCCTGAAGGCAGTGTACCCACTGCATCTTATATGCCACTGTCTGTGTCTTCCTTCACCACTGCATAGACAGCGCACTTATATGACTTGCCCACATTAGGTGCTAGTTTTTGGAAAGCTAATGTTAGTGGAGATGAACCTCAAGCCAGCTCTTTGCCCAGGCAGTCATTTGTGGCGTATGTCCCTTTGTCTTTCAAAAGAGTGTAAATCACATTACAGCCATCTGTTGATTCTTACGGAAGCACATATGCTCTATTTTGAGGTGGTTCAATGATTTGGTGGACTATTGTGGACTATGGGTAGAAGGAGAGCAGAAACTGCTATTCCTAACACTTCCATGAGCTTTTCTGGAGAGAAGCACTGAACTCTTCACCTTGCACTGATAAAGGTTCATTACCAAAAACTTCTGGGAAGAGAGTTCTTGAGCCTGGGAAGACATCAGTACCTACTTCACTATTGTAGTGGTCCCACTGTTACAAATCAAGCACAAGCTTAAGCCCTCTCTACAGGGAATAGCACTGTGTAAACCAATAGATGAAAAACTAAAAAGTAAACTTTCTGCATGACATTTTTCAGGCAGAGAATATGAAGTGCCTGTTTGGAAACACCTTGCTTGGTGCAATCTTTTTAATTGTCAATTCTCTTTTAATTGTTTGTGCTAATATTTTATTGACTGCATTTGAATGTCTTTAAAATGTTATTAAAAATCCAAGTGAAACAGGTTTGTGGCTGTAGTTTTGAAATTCTTCCTTGAGAAATCTGACACAGTGTAACTCGTTGTGTAATGCCCAGCACTTTGCAGTGTCCCATCCACAATAATGGAAGGTCTGACAGAATTTACTCCTCTTTATATGAGAGGGGTAATATATATGAGACTGTTAAGAGAATGAGGTACAAGATCTGTTCATTTAAGCAACATGGAGTTGGCATATGCAAAATGGCACTACTTCCTGCCTCATCAAGCTCAAAGTATTTGCTGCTTCCTTATAAAAGGAGAGATAAGTAATCCTTCCTTTTAAAAGGTATGTTTAGTCTCCTTATTGGGTTTTGCTGGAGGTGGGGGTTAAGGAGTAAATTGATACATTTGTGATCAGGAAAAGATTCCTCATGTTAATTCCAGGTGAAAGAAGTTATCGCTTTGGAACACAAGCATCTCACAACTCTGCATCTACACTTCCCTGAAGTCTTGAAAAACTTCACAACAAGGGTTTCTCCCCCTCTTTGGAGTCCATAGGGAAGCTCGTCATGCTTTCCACTCATTTGACAGGGTGCTGAAGAACATCCTTCAAATAGAAATGCTACAGCAGGGTACTGAAGGATGACAGGCAAATGTTTCAGTTTGTGGCATTGTGGCACCAGTGTCTCCTTTTGAATAGGAACAATTCAAAGCACAGGGGTAGCCGCTTTAGGTGTCAGCCTGTACTAGAGCAGTGTAGGTTCCCCTGAGACTTATTCTATCAGATGCAGCTATAATCATATCTTTGGAGGATTTATCATTTAAATTCTTCATTGAATCTCTCAGAGCAAATATCTTCCAGTGTTACTACCTAAAATGAAGCAAGTCATTCCTAACACAAGCAATAACCAGCTGGAGTTGCAGGTGTCTCACATATCTAAGCGTGTGCCAAGATCCTCCAGCTTGGAGCAGTCACACGATTTCTCCTCATCACAGATACTCCTGTGTTTGCAGGCATGAATGGGTCGGCCATTGAAAATTTCTCCTGTGTGATTTATAATGTTTCCCTCATGAACTGCACTTGGCAGGCAGGCAAGGATGCTCCGGGAGATACCCAATACTTTCTCTACTGGCAGAACTCGAGGTAAGAAGGTCTGCTTGAGTCTAGGGAAGTCTGAATTCTCATTTGACACATCACACTGACCACGTTTAACTAATTTTTTTTTTTTTTTTTAAATCTTGCTGTATACAGATATGATGATGCAATGGAATGTGAGCTTTACATTAAAGACGAAAATGGCAGAAACACGGGGTGTAGATTCCAAAATGTGAGGATAGAGGTTGAAAAAGCTTACTTCCTGGTGAATGGGTCTAGCAAAGATTCCCCAATCCAGTTCTATGATGAGTACATTGAACTGTATAAAATTGGTAAGTAATTTCTTTCTGCTTTATTTTCATTATTGCATGAGGGTAGTAGAGCATTTATCCCTGAGAAGGAACCAAGTACCCTGTCTCACTTACAGTTGAAAGTAAGAGACTGTGGCCTCTTCAAGAAAACCTATACCCCAAGAGATCAAGTGATTTTAATTATTTTAATTCTTGGTTGTACCATTTCAGAAAAGCTCATGCCTCCATCAAATATTACTGTCAACTGTGATGAAATTAAAAAAACTATTCCCCAAGCAAAAGAGCAATGAGGGAAATTAGGCAAGAAAGCTCCATAACTGCAGCCTGCCTCAGATTCTTTAGCAATCTACCCTTATTGGTTTTAGGTCTTTCTCCAGCAAGGTCCACAGGACTTAGGAGATAGTACCTCTCCTTGCTGTCCTTTCAATGATGGCCGAAGACCTTTCAATAGGGGAGACTTTCCAGAAGTTTATCTGAGCACTGATTTCTCCTTCTCACTGCCAGTGGGGATGGCACACACCGACACCATACCCTTGATTAAAGAAATTAACACGTGTACAAAATACCCCAGGTTTTCATATGTTCTTTCACATGTGGTGCTCTACTTGGAAGCATCCTGTGCAACTTTTACTGTGGCAAAGCCTTTTTGGCAAAGTCCCACTGTTTTTGGTATTGCCTCCAAAACATGGACAAACAAGGCTTCGTTCTATAAGGAAAAGGAATTGAGCTGTAATATCACTCATGGCAGATGAAACAAGACTGTTCTTTGACCAAACAGCCTATCACAAATAAGCCAGGCCTGTCTCTAAATATTGATGTAAAGTAGCAGTCTAGCTGAAACTAAGGTTTCCTCTATCAGCCTTTTACCACCCTTTCTGTCATGAGGGCTGTCTTTTGCTGTTACAATAATCAAGTCCTTGGCGATGATCAAAATATAAAGGTCCTCATATTTTTGCTCACATCTGTGAATTTAGGGGAGATATGTGAATAAGTTGGCTAGATTCTTAAAGCTGAAGTGTCGTTCTTAAATTTGTATGGCTAATTTTTTGGAACAGGGGGAATAAACTGCATAGTTCACAACGCCAAGCAAGCAACACCTTCATGTTACAGAAGCATTGTGTGAGGAGGCTTGAAGAAAGAAATGACCTTTGGATTTCTTACATTAGGGTTAGCATCAGCTTGTTCTTCTGCAGTAAAAAACATCCTTATAAAAAGAAGACAGGACTCTACCTTACTCATCTAGAAAAGTAATTGGAGGGGGGTTGTATCTTTGCATGCTCCTAAGCCATGTTCCCTGGCTTAGTCCCTGTTTTTTCTCATCCTGGGGACAGGATTTAAAGAACTTTGGTCTTTCAATTATTTCTAACAGAGTTCCTAAGAAAAATAGATACAAATTATTATCTTTCTTCATAGAGGTGTTACTTGCAATTGCAATCTCTTTTATCAAAGCAAAAAGAGATCAAGTGATTTTCATTATTTGAATTCTTGGTTATACCATTTCAGAAAAGCTCATGCCTCCATCAAATATCACTGTCAACTGTGATGAAATTAAAAATGATTGCATAATTCAATGGCAACGACCCCAAATAAGTCATTCTAACAAAGACAAGTGTTTTAAATATGAAATCAACATAAAGTATAAGGTAAGAGGAATTTCTTCACCTACATTTAACATTAATACATGTTTGCATTTACCAATACACATGGATAGAAAGAAAAACAATCTCTCTTGTATGGTGTAGCCTTCCTCATACGTAGCACATATTCCTTTGTGGTTGTGCCTTTCAGGCACCCTGTTATACCATACTTTTTTTATCCCTGTTTTTTTATCCCTGTTCCCCTGTGTGAAATGTTGCTGGAGATGATACGCTGATTGACTGTGACTGTGTGGGACTAAGAGGAGAAGCATGGTTAATCAAGACTTGAACGTACCACAGCTTTGGCTGTGACAAAACTCAGAAAAGGCACTTCTTTCACTAAGACCTGTTGGAGCTGTCCTGGATTGGAGTCCCTCCAGTAGTGACTGCATCTCTGTGAAAGGGCAGAGCTTAGCTGTGAATATTGGACAGAGGAATGTGCATCCACTTAACAAGTATGAATTGATGGAAGTGAATGACATTTCTATATATATGAAATGTAAATAGCTTATCCAGATATCATATATAAGCGACACACCTGTTGGTCCAAGAGTTGAAGCTGTATAATGGGAAATGAATGTGAGAGAAAGCAGAAAGGCAGTGTGAACAAGCATAAATTACTGAGGGCATCGCTTAAGCTACTGAAAGTCAAATTCAGACCTTGGCTTTACAAGTCTTTGCAGCAACAGGGAAGGAGTGAGACTGCTGTGTAACTGTGCCAGAATTGCGTCAAATGACCACAGGGTGGCAGGTAGTGACTACAAAGGAAAAACCTGCCTGTACTACAACCAGATTTGGCCACTTAGTGGCTGATTGAAGGCATTCCCTAGATTTCTGTCATTTGGAACTTCTTAATCTGGATCTGGCTTGCTGTTTCATAGATGAGTTTTCTTGCAAGCCCAACTAACTGCTACAAAACTGCATTATTTCTCTGAATCCCTTGGCCGTTGGAGCAAAGAAAGCTTACAGAAAATTCTGTGTGACACTGGAATAAAAGTGCATTGCAGTAAAGCAATACACACTTCTTAAAGTCTTTTAAGATGCCTAAAGTTTGGTTTATAAAGAATATTCAATTCACACATAGTCTGAATTGCCTAGCATTTTTTAAATAATCATTAGCAGTTTTCATGTTACTAATTACGTCAAGGTCCAGCAATTACTGTATTGCAAAATTTATTGCTTTACCACTGACAGGTGTAAACTTGTATTGTTTTACTAATACATTATGACCAATATATGTTGTATTACAGTTAGTCTTTAAACTTTATTTTCACAATTGGAAATTGCTTGCATTGGGTGCAAACAAAAAAAGGATAACACCGTAAGTAACATCATTTCAGTCACATTTTTTCATGTCTGACACCGATAAACTGAATTTGCTGAGAATCTGGGATTCTTCTTCAGCGATGTTTTAAGTTAAGGCTTTATAGATCAGGATACCTGGGAAATCTGAAGGCAAACCTTACTGGTGAAAACTGAGCTAAGGTGGCACCAAATACCTCAGCTTTCCCATGTCCCTTGTCACTAGGTTCCCCCAACTCAGTGAGCAACAGGCCTGCATTCTCCTTAACCTCCCTTTTGCTGCCAGTCCACTCATAAAACCTTTCTTGTGTCAACTAGTCTCAACTCCAGCTGAGCTTTGGCTTTCCTGACTCCATTCCTGCATGTGCAGATGGTGTCTTTGTATTCCTCCCAAATCCCTTCTTCTACCTTCTGCATACTTCCTTTTTGTCTCTGAGCTCAGACTTAAGCTTCATGTCCTGCCATGCTCACCTGGCACACTCGCTCAATTTTCTGCACACTGGAATGGACCATTCTTGTGCTCTAAGGAGGCTGTCCTTGTAGATCAACCAGCAACTTTGCCCTCCAGGGCAATTTCCCTTGAGTACCAAGCCTGTGAGGCTTTCTCAAGCTGCCTGAAGAGGGTGTCATCTGCTTCCTTTTCTTGATCAGGAGATCTGGAACAAACACCTACTGTATTGTCACCTATGTTGGTCTGTCCTCTGATACCTACTCACAAGCTCTCTTACTGGTTCATCATTTATCCCAAGACAGGCACTCTTTTACGTAGAGCACAAGGACCAGGTTAGCAAGCCTGTTTGCAAGGACACTCTCACCCCACTTGGTGAGAAGCATCCCATGCCTGCTCAGTAGCCCCTCTTTCTCAAAAAGGGTCCCAAGGTCGTAGAAACCAAAGCCCTGCCTGTGACACCAGCCACTCAGACACGTGTTGACTTGCTGGATGAGTTCAGTTCTGCTCAAGCCTTTCCCTCTCACTGGAAGGACGGACAAGACACCATCTGGGCTTCCTGCCTTTCACCATCCCCCCGGTGTTCTACAATCACCCTTGAAACCACCCAGGTTACCCCTGGCCACATCATTGGTGCTCACACAGAAGTGCAGGAAGGGGCAATAGTTCAATGGCCAGACAAGTCTAGCGGTCCTCCTGCAGCGTCCTGGATCCTGGCCCCTGGCAAGCAATAGACCTCCATCAGGTCAGGTCAGTAAACTGGTGCCACCACCCGCTGCAGGAGGGAGTCTCTTAACTATCGTGCACATTTTCTCCTTCATTTTTTTAAATGCGATTCTCTTTAATAGATCTCTTCTTCCAAAATTTGCAAAAGACTGGCTGTCCTCCTGGAACTCTGCTTTCTGAAGTCTTCCATGACCTCATTGTTTTAATTTCTCATATATTATCTTAGTATAAACAGAAAAAAAGGGAGACTATATTGTTGCGCTTTCTCCTAGATTGATACCTGTGCTTAAGTTAGCTTCTTTACAGATTCTGGAAGCTGTCCTGTACAGCAGCATGCCTTGCAAACTCATGTTCAGGTGCCACATGAGCATGCATGCAGTTATTTGATAAAACAAGTTTGGATTCATTTCATTTTATTTTAAAAAGGAGTAATACAGAATGCAAAATAATTTAAAAATAACTCTGGCAGGGTAATGGAGATGCTATAGTCTGCAGTCATTAGTTGTGTGTGGTCACTACATTACATGGTAGTCATTACGGCTTTTCAGAAGAGATGGGTGAATTTTATTCTATCTATCAAAAATTTAGTTGGAGGACAGCCTAAAATATCTGTGAATCCATGTCAGTCGTGAATATTTTCATCTGAGGGAAAAGGAAACAATATTTACAATGTATTTGCAATTAAATATAGTGACATTTATTGTAAAATATAAACACTAGGTGTAAACTAAAAAGTTTATTTCACAAATTTTTATCTTTTTGTTTTTCCTGGTGCATGTAAGAATAAAGTTACAGTTTTCATTCAGGTCTGTTTTTTTCTTGTGTTTTAATTTAATCACCAATCTGAAATAAAATCTATTTCTCAACTCTGGCAGTAAGGAAAACAAATACTTTTCCATAGGAGAATTAGTTACAATATAAACTTGGCATTGTAGATGAATTATATATTAGATACTAAATGTTAGATAAATTACTAGTTCTTCTGAAAAACTGTCAAGCAGATAAGAAAGAGTAATGCAGAAAAAGGTGACAGTACATAAAAATGACTTGTTTTCCAAACACAAAACAAGCAATCATAAAAATAAAGGGTTTTTTTTTTCTCAATTTACCAGGATAATCCTGAGGGAGAAACCAAATATACTTCTATACAAGTAAGTCTGCTTGTTCTATTAATCAGCAATACATGTTAGTTTCATAGGCATTTGTGAAAAGTAAATAGTATGCAAATATCTTTAAATCAGTATATGTTCAATGACTTACGCTTTATGGGATCCTTATTTACAAATTTCATTAGTGTGTCAAACTGCTAAATCATCATGATGTATGTCATTTATTATACATTCAAGGGCAGAACTTTATTACTATTCTGTAAGTATTTTGAAAAACCTTCCATTATACATTATACTGTCCCCCTCAAATATTTGGATCAGAATTTGAAGTTACACATCAGTGACAGCAGAGAAAAGAGACACAGAGAAAACACCTCCTAGGAATTTAATTTTGTTCATGAAAAACAAAGACCACAAAAGTCCTTTGGGATCCTTTGGGATGGAGGGTTGACTCCGGGTACACTGCACCTCCTTTGAATCAGTGCAGCTTGCACATCCCACCTCTATCCTGAAAGTATCCAAGAGCAAGCATTTTTCAGTAAATTGTAGTAACACTACATATTGCAGTCTTCTACTTGTTTTACAGGTTTGGTTGGAAAGTTATGTTTTTCCTGAAAAGTCATAATGCAAAGATTGAGGAGGGTGATGTGCATGCAGACAGTTTATTCCTCAAATCACTCGATTCTAGCAGTATTGAAATGAGACAATGCAAGATATTTTTCGGCCTCTGTCAATGTGCCAAGGGAAATTATCAATAGATCAGACTACATCACAAGAAATTACAGGATATAGTTTAAAAGATAAAAAACTTCTAAACATAAAAAGTTCAGAGTAACAGGTTATTTTTTAAAGGAGATACACAGATACGTGCGTATTATATACATAATAAACATGCATATGTTTATTATTTGCTTTGTAACAGCAGTCTACTTTAACAAGCAATGCTCTTCTAGCCTTGTAAAAGTTTCACTGGTAAATGGCACTTGCATATTATGAACACCTAGACATGCAACAAAGAAGAACAGCTCTGTTTTGCTTTGTTTTAGGAAGGGGGGAATAGCCACACATTTCAAAGATCCAATACAAGAAAGAAGTACCTCTTGAAAATGAGAACAGCTGGCAGTGCGTGCCTCACGACCTCAGCCTGGGGAGAGTGGAGTGCACCTGTAGAGTTTGGTAAGAACGAAAATCCATGCCTTGGGCTACTCTTCCCCCCAGCAACGTCCTGTCTACCTCACACATTGCTGCGCATCTATGGGCAACCAGATATATAAAGGCTTGACAAACATTTTGTTTCCCTCCACATTACTGAGAAGAAGAGGAGGAAAAGAATTAATACATCTCTTAACAGTCCGACATTGGAAATCAGTACAAAAAGTTACACGTTGGCAACTGAAGTGCGTACCTGCTTACTGCAGGGGAAGGACAATGTCAATCCTTCCCAGCAGACGTTACCGCTAAGGTGCTAAATTAAAGAGTTTATTTTTATACCAAGTGAAACCTTTCAGACTGACATTCACCAGTCACCAGAGTAGATGTTTGACGCAGCTGTGCATCTATTCCTCTTTATTAGCAATAATCCTTTATGGCTGTTTTTCTTTCAGGAAATGAAGAAATTATTTCTTCTTCAGTATGGATTTTACTTGTGGTAGCAGTTGTGACTCTCTTAGTGGCAATCGCTGCAATTTTGTTCTGCAAAAGGTAAACTTAACTTATGTATTTATTTTATTTTGTGTGGGTGTGTGAAACATCTGCAGTTCTTAAACAAATAAGGTAGAGGTGTCTCTGTAGTATAGATAAAATTTTTTCACTCACACTGTAATAGAAATCAATCCAAATAAGTGATCCTGAGGCAAGTACTATAATGGTGATGCCCAAAGTCCCTCCCCGGCTGATCCACACAACTTTTTCCAGGGCCTCTTCTGTCAACATGGAAAGGAGAGCAATTATATGCAATTACTTATATTAACAATACAGCTGCTCTGAATATTTGCAATGTAGACTGTCTACGCGATAGGTTTTCTGATTTCTCGAACTGCTGAATTTATTGCAAACACACGTTGACTGTGCATATCAGTAAAGATTTTGCAATGTTCACTAGAATTGTGCTAGCAAACTGAATGTATCTGAAAGCACATAAGCTAAGCAGCTTACTTCTTTAAATAAACCACGTAAGTGAAACAGAAAGAAAAAGGATATTCTGTTGTATCATGCACTTTGTATAGAAATATACAGTAATTCAGAGAAAATACAGTTCTTCCAAGTTGTTAAAATTTTTACACCCTCTTTTCACTGGTTGTAGTGACTTAAAGAGCAGGAAATTGGGAGATCCTTTTCCTTTCAAAGAAGAAAATAACTACTAGTGAATCTTTAACCAAAAATGAAACTATTACCATCCAAATTCTTAGGGTTTTCTTGATATGTGCTCATTCTGTGCTGAGATTATGTATATTTTTCATTTCTCTTCTATCCTGGAAGAGGAAGATAAGAGCTGGTTCAAGGGTGCAATGGTTTTGACACATGACGGTTACTTAATTTTTCTTTTCTATTCCATTCCTTTTGATCTCCAGGACTGGCTGTTGGAAAGCAGCATTTCCACAAATCCCAGAGCCAAAAAATGCATTTTGTGGACTGCCTGATACAAATCCAGAGGTATGTTCTCTTTCTATTTTATATTAAATACGTGAAATACATACAAGACTCTATTGCAGGTATTTTTAAAATGCTAAGGAACTTAACACAGAGAATAACTCTTCTCTTTGCCATATTTTGAGGAATTACAAGAGAAAATCAGCAGGCAAGTTTGTTAAGGGCAGTCAAATGCAGTGCTCCTCCAGACTCAGGGGGTGTCCCGTTTAACAGGTACAGGGGCTGACGCTCCCATTGGTAGGTTCAGACAGCAGCGAGGACTGTGTGTTTTCCCAACACGAGGCACACACATGCACAAACACACACACAGAGGACACTAATGCAGCCAGCCACAAAGACCAGCATGGGTGCCTTTGCTGGCACCACGTCAACACCAACAGCAGTCACATAAACAGGGTCGCAGACAGCCTGCTGCTCCTCTCTGGCTGAGCAGGGCTGAAGTTTGCCAGTGAGACGTGCATACACCCTCACTCTCTTCATTCACAACAACCATAGATTTGCAAGTTCCTCACATTTGATCTCTGTGTCCGGACCCTGGGTCCCCCCACCAGGTCACCAGCTCTCACCTTTGGTCTCTCCAGGTGCAGGTCTCTCCTACTCACCCACTAGTCCAGCTTCAATGAAGTTCGCTAGCAAGTTAGACACACAGGATAGAAAGCAAGGTGACACAGAAAACAGTTCAAAATAGGATTTTGTAAGGTAACAGGACAGACTGCAGCGGTCACACACAGTGTTTGACCAGACCAGCATACCACCAGCAGCTCACTTGCGCCCTTTTCTTGTCCAGCAGATTATCACCTTATGTCCGGTAATTTCTCATGGTCTGTTCAATTAGCTAAACTTCAGGCCAATGTGTACTCATCTACTTTCACACCTTAGCAAAGTTAATCCTTTTGTATTAATTTGTTTGAGATGATTTGTGGTAACCTGCGTGGTGCATTGGAGAAAAGCACATTATCCCTGTCCACTTCCAGGCCAGTCAAAAATCATGTGTCAGCATTACAAAGTTGCTGAAATTTCACTGTTACGTCCAGCTAAGGAAAGCTTATCAGCTAAGAAACAAAGAAGTGAAATAGTTCTATAAAACATGCAACAAAAGTTGAAATACTCTCAGAATTGTGTGTAAGTAAGTAGAGGCTAACCTAACCTTGTGTATAAAACTAACAGAAGTTTTTATTTTCCTTTCAGCTGATGGAGAACAAAATTCAGTCAATAACATCTGAAAATGAAGAGATAATACTAGTTGCTGACCTAGTGAAATAACCAAGAAAAACTGAGGAATTTGAAAGTGCATTTCTTAGCTCAGGCAACTGTATATTCCTCTGGAAAGTCTGGAATAATATCTAGGCTTTCTTCACTTTCTTCCTTTTCTTGGCAAAAACTATAGTGCAGCCAAGAGAGAATGATAACTCACACGTAATTTTTTTTAAATGCCATTGTATTTGCTTTTAATTTTGGCTAACTTTAACTGTTTGGGTAACTTGTCCTTGTTGGATATCTTCTATTTTGTGAATATGATTGAAATATTTCAGCCAAAAAGTTTTAGTTATATTTTATTTTGTTTAAGGAAAAATAATGGGTTTGTCTCATATTAAAAAGAACAAGAATGAATTTATTGAGATGAATAAAAATTTTTAAAAAAATTATGTTGCCTGAATGCCATTGTTCTACTGTCAAGAACAGGCCTATTAATATTGAAGTTTCTTCAGATCTCTTAAAGTACACACAGGCAACTAGAAAATTGAGAATAGGATTGAAAATGGGCTGACACATTGAGCGGTGGCCTGTAATAAACAGGAATCTCAAAGGACAGAAGTATGTCTAAAACCCTAACTAATCCTAGAGCTAAGCGTGTTACTTACAAGTTAACAGATCAGCCACCATTAACGTGATATCAGCCCAGAATTTACTTCTGTAGGTACCTAGGTCTTTATGTCCTTACTGCTCACTTGCCTTTTTACTACTTTCATTCCTCTTTAACTTCTTAGCATTTTAAAATATCAAGGGCGTGACTCAGTTAATCTCTGTGTCCTTTTGTTCAAACAGAGGCCTTTACTACTCAGCTGGACAATAATTTTTCAGAGCCATAGAGTTAGGAGAAGGTATTGGGAAAACAGCCCAGGCTGTTGTTGAATGCAGTGACTGGTTATGAGTGACGCTCCTCAAGAATCAATACTGAGAGTCATAGTGCTTGGTACTGACAGTAACTCGGACAATGGGATGAAACGCAGCCTTAGCAAGACTGCGGATGACAGCAAACTGAGGACACTGCCTGATACACTGGAGGGCAGGCCTGCTATTCAGAAGGGCTCTTGACAGGCTGAAGAAATGGGTTGATAGGAACTTCCTGAAGCAAATGTAAAGCCAAACACCTGGGAAAAACTAATTGTGTGTATCCTAGAGAATGACTGACTGACAGGTCTGCAGAAAAGGCTCTGAGGTCCTGGTGGGCAACAAACTGAACACAAATCAGAAGTGCTTCCTTATGGTAGTGAAAACTATCCACCTACTAGGCTATACTGGGAGGAATGGACCCAGCAGGTCAAGGGCAGTGACTATTCCCTCTACTCAGCGCTCATGAGTCTGCACATGCAGTTCCGTGCCCAGATTTCAGCCTCCTAGTACAAGAAAGACATTGACAAACTGAGTAAGTTCAGCAGCAGGGCACCAAGATGATTATGGGGGTCTGAAGGAATTGGGATTTTTCAGCCTGGATAATAGAGGCTAAGGGGATCTTCTGCTGTCTTCTACTGCATGTAATGAAGACAGAACAGACTTGTCTGGGAGTTGTACGGTGTGAGGATGAGAGGGAACAGTCAACAAGTTGCAGCAAGAGAAAGTCCAATTTGCTACAAGGAAAAAGAATGATTTACAGGTGAGAGTGGTTGTATGGTCTCTGGAATGGTTGTCCAGAGAGGCTGTGAAATCTCCATCCTTGGATGTATTCAAAATACAACTTGACAACTGGATCTGACGTTGAAGTTGGCTCTGCTTTAAGTGGGAGGTTGGACTCAGTGACCTTCAGAGGTACGTTCCAACCTAAATATTTCTCTAAATATTTCTCTAAATGGCTCTTGTCAAAGCTGGTCAGTCTTTCTAAGTCCCTGTTGAGAAACAACGGTACCCATTTGTACACTTAAAGCAACTGGGAGAGCTGGAGTCGTACTGGTACAGATGCCTAGAGAACTACTGTGTAACACATGCCTCTTCCACTTGGGAATAGGACTTGACTCAGAAGGATCTTGTTTCTTGTCAGTGCTGAGCTGTCAGTTTGAGCCAGCACTTCTTTTTCTTTTTCATTTCCCGATTTCATTCATCCTAATATACAGCCTTAGGGTTAGGGCTTGGGGAAACATAGGAAAGCCCAGTATTGGAAAAGATGAGGAGCACAGGTAACTCATGTGTTTTGGTGGTCCCTCTGAGGTAGGAAAAGGAATAATGTCCTTCAGAGTCAGTTCTTCATTTTCTGTTTCACTGACAGAAGGGCCCTTTGTCTCTCATGAATCCCAAAAGGAGTACTAGTCTTTGCAGTCAGAAAGCATCATAAATTGTGATTCTTATTCAAAGGAGAAAGCATTGAGGTGTAGTAGCAAAAGGGGGGTGCTTAGGTCTTCTTATTGTGGAGGAGTGTAACCCATTTTGATAATACATTCATTTTATATATATGTAGGAACATGTTTCTCACCTTCTGATCCAGTGATACTGCAGACCAAGGAATTTGAGAATTATGCAGATCATTATCAGAAGGGGAAGGGACTAGTCTGGTGAGAACTTTTGTCCTTTTTAGGGTTCGGACATTTCCAATAGCATTTACAGTTCCCAGTATGAGGTGAGATACAGCTGGAGAAAGCAGTCTGAAGAGGCCTAGATTCTTCTGAACACTGGAGGGTTCTCAGACTTATGAAGAAGTATCATATCTGCACAATACAACAACTACATGTATTCTCTGGAAAGTGCTATACCTAATGGTGGGACTTTGAGACAAGCACAGACCTACATTTCTGTTTGAGAAAGATCAGACCCTTGTGCACAGAGCAATGGTTCATCTTGGAGGATGGGTACATTAGGTTTGGACCAACTGTTTTTTCCTTTTTCATTTTTTATGGGAAGTGTATACCCAACCTCTATTCTTACAGGTTCAATCCTGGAAAATATATAAGCTCCATCAAAGGTTTTCAGAAAAATATTTCTATTTCTGTTGTTGGTCACGGGTGTCTGACATGGCCTTACCTTGCCATAAATTCATTTGTATGGATGGAGCACTTTTGAAAGGACTAGCAACAGCCTTTTCAGATAAGTGATAAACATAAGGGAACCATTTCTAAAGAGATGTGAATCGGGATATCTTCTGGAATGCTGTCCTTGATTTAGGCTCTGTTAGGCCATTTTCCCAGAAGCCTGGGAGACCTAAGGTTCACTTTGCCATATTTCAAATTTGAGATTGTGTTCTGCAGGACAGGCCCTGCTTTAGTGTTGCTGGGTGGAGTAATGTAAAAGCCCTATTGCCTGTTTTCTCTGCTTAGAGCAGTAGTATCTAAATGTGGCAGGCTTGAGAGCTTCCACTCCTAAATGTTGGATTCAGCTGACCATTGCAGCCAATGTCTCCAAGTAAGCCTTAGAAAACTGTTATCATTTCAGCCCTTAATGTTCTTCTCTCTTCCTAATAACACTGGGCCAGGTTCTGCTAACACTTTTATTAACTCATAAGTGGTTACTCTTTCCAGTGCTAAATTGCTGGGTTTCTTTACATTCTTGCTTTGCTGGATCCCTACACTGAATTGCTCATGCAATTTATCAGCATAAGTGGTTTCAGTGGTCCTGCTGGTGGTGTCTTCCCTGTTCCAGAGGACAGGTGGAGTTCTGTCATGCTCAAATGATGCAACCTCCCAAGTCAAGCATTTTTAGACCAGACAGAAAAATCTTTGGAAATTTATCATGTAGCAACAGCAATATACAGGGGCATAAAGGCCATACTGTATAAAAGTAAAATGTCCAGCCAGCCAATCCAGCAAGTCAGCATGTTAGGATTTTTCTTCATCATGTGTACAAATTTATATTTTTGTACATTGCACACGAAATTGGCATTTCATCTGCCAATTTATCATTCAGTCACTCACTATTACCAGGTTATTGAACTTCCTCACAATCATCTTTGTTTTCTATTATCTCAAACTACTTGTAACTATTTATCCATGTGAGGATCCTCCTTTTATCTTAGGGCAACGTAGACTTTTCTCCTGGTCTAAAAATGAGATGTTGATTTTTTTCTCTAACCCCTTCGACTGGCACTTCATTTTGAGTGTGGTCTTCCCTCCCATTCCTCTTGAAGAAAAGTCCTAGCATGACAACATCTTTGAGAGATCTGTAGTACCAAATACTCACTGATACTTTCTGCTGTCACCTTACCTCCTTTAACAAATCTTTTAATTTTCCTTAATCATTTATTTGCTCAATGGTTTCTGACAAGATTCCTTTTTTGGGAAATGGTTTATTATTAGATTTCTTTTATTCCTTTTACAGGTTGTTCCATTAAAAAAAAAAAAAAAAACCAACACGTTCTTGGCCTGACTTATTGTGCTTTTGTATTTATCCTGTCAGAATTCACATGCTTTCCTGTTTTCCTTCTGTGGCGAGGGCTCCAACTTTTTCATAAATGCCTTCTTATTTTGCACAGCCTCCCTCACCCCTTTACTTTGCTAAGCCAGGATCAAGAAGACTTTTTTTTTTAAAGGGGCAAAACCCCCTACTATTTGATCTGTTTGTATTATGAATGGGACCCAAAGAATACATTTCAATGTTTGATTTAACTGTGTGGGAAGATACCGGAGTGGGCATAGCCATGTCTTTCATAGAATCATAGGATCATAGAATCATAGAATCATTAAGGTTGGAAAAGACCTCTAAGATCACCAAGCCCAACTGTCAACTCCATACCACCATGCCCATTAAAGCATGTCCCTAAGCACTTCATCTACACGTC